TTCTGCATTGTGTTGTATGATGTGGAATCTGTCATTAAATTGCACATGAATGATTCAATGCAAACAGTTAAGACCAAGTTCAGTTGTTCTTATGTATTGCTCTCAGTATTAATGTGAAAATATATTGCAATATGTACAGTATGCCCCATACCCTATTCCAAAAGCTACACAGTATACGGTGCAATTAATTTCATTTCCTTGAACATAAACTAAAAGAACTAAACAAATTGATATTTAATCAATCAATCAAAGATGTATATATCACTTTTCATACCTAGAAATGAAACTCAAAGTGCTGTGCAATTAAAACTTCAACATTGCAACATAAAAAAAAAATCAACCTAAAAAGCAATGATGCAAATGATGTCCCCATAAGTGTGCATATGTTTGCACACACACACATGCAAAACATGCACACATACCCTGATGAACTACCGGTGTATTAAAAAAAGACTTGGCAAGGCACACAGAAACCATCTGAAGAAAATAGCACCCAAGGGGAGCTAATCCACACTGACAAGAAAGACAGCCACCACATCTCCCAGGGTGGAGGCCCCCCATGAGGAAACACTGGCGCTATAAAATAAATGAATAAATAAATAAAATTCTTGAATTAAAACAAGTACATAAGTAATTCTCAAGCCAAGCGAAAAAGATGTGCCTTAAGTCTCTTTTTAAAAAGATCAACAGTCACTGCGGAACTGATGTCCTCCGGTAGACGATTCCATGGGGACCAAAATGGCTGAATGCAGCCTCACTATGCGTTTTGGTTCTGATCGTAGGAATAATTAAAAGACCGCGATGGTTGATATAATAAAATTAGGTTGCATAAATATGATGGCCCAAGACTGTTAATACATTGCAAAACTAATACAAGCATCTTAAAATCAATTCTGAAACACACGGGGAGCCAATGCAGCGATTTTAAAGCTGGTGTGATGTGTTCCCGCCCTCTGATCCCTGTCAGGACTCGTGTGGCTGAGTTCTGGAACACTTGTAACCTTGAAATACTCTTTTTAGGAAAACCAGTAAAAACATACATTAGCACTTTTGTGTTGGCCTGAGAGACGAATGGGCGAACTCTGGCTATATTCTTGAGATGATAAAAACACAGTCTTGGTTCTATTAATTTAAGGAATAAAACTAAGCTCAGAGTAAAAAATGACACCCAAGTTCTTCACACATTGTGGGTTTGAGGTACTGTAGTTTTGGTGAAAGTGAATCTGTTAAAAATTCTAAAGACTCTCAAAAGTTCCATAATGTGGGCCATATATACAGTTAATTTAAATAAATATGAATTAGTTGACCTGCGCTGGCAGGCTTAGATGGTGTCGTGACTCTATCGCACTTTGATTCCCGCAGAATGCTCTGCTGACATGTCGACAAAACAAAATAGAGTACTGTATTGAAGTTTGAGGTTGTTGACCTTGAGTTAGCAACAACCCTCCATCTTGACTGACAGGTGGCCTGCGGTGTTGAGAGAACCATTTTGTCAAAGGTGTCATGCCTCGGAGGGATGTTAGGAGGGCTTTGGCGTCAGTACAAACACATCGCACATTTAACTTCCTGACACCTCCTTAATGCACAAGTAAGCCACTAAACTGGACCCATGCCTGCTTGCTATCTTTATAACAGTGAGGCCTGTGCAAACATACGATCTTGAATTTATGGTATGCTACGTTGAGGGTTTTTTTTTTTTTTTTTGAGGATGGTGTGCTTGCTGCTTTTGGCGTGATGGCTTGCAGTGGAAATCAATGCCAGACAATCAACAACAACGAAGACCGCAGGAGCTTCATCTGCTGACTTTGAAATGAAGCTCATGCATCAATTAGAGCACAACAAAGAGGAGGCCATCTGCAGCGGCTCTCAAAAAGTCACCGTGCTGTGAACACCCTGTTGTTAATAGTCTTCCTCTGTCTACAGATAGTGGCGGCCATCTTGGCCATTGCAGGCATCGTCATGATGACCTACGCCGATGGCTTTCACAGTCACTCCGTTATTGGCATCACTCTAGTTGTTACTTCAGCGTCCATGTCTGCACTATACAAGGTAGGATTGCAATACACTGAATGGGCATTTCATTAGGTACACCTGGAGAATTCAATGAGTTCCAATGTAAGAAATGTGTCAGCTATTGTCTTTTTTTTTGTTTTGACAAAAATGAGGCTCCTAATAATAATATGAAATAGTCATAATAAGTAATACGAAACAATATGTTGATTATTGTGATAGAAGTTTGCAGCGTTGTAGAAAATTCACATCATGAACTGAAGCTAAATAGGGTAAAATAAACTGCTAAAATGAAGTACAATTTCATCATTGGGTGTGTTAAAAGCTGCCTTATAAGCACAAAAAAGTGAAAAAAAAATATTTGGACGGAAATGCAGCAAATTGATGTTTTATATAATGTTGAAGCTACATTTCGGCCAAATATATCATGTATATATTTTTTTCAAAGGTTTTAGCCCAATAAAGATAAATTATATCTGTTCCCCAGAAAACCTAAATAACTTCAAGCATGCCTTATACTGTAAAGGGATATTTTACACACAAAAAGTAAATACTAGTGTGACATTTGGGGGGAAGGGACACATTTTTGGACCAACATAGAATAGAATAATTGAATAGAATAAATCTTGCACTCGAGAAATTCTATTAGAATGAATATTAAAACATTTTTAAAGGTAGTGATTTGCAATAAAAAGAAATAAACAAACAAACAAAAAAAGAATTCCTTGGTATTGGAAATTTAACATGTCATATATATTCATTTATCTCTAAATGTTGGCTGCCTGTTTATTCCTTTTCCAGTGCTTGTCTACATAACAATTTGTATTTACTGAAGGTCATCCTCTATGCTGCACCACAGGAGGTCACATTGTGTGCATTCATGAGTAACTCCTTTCCTTCCTGCCAGGTTCTCTTCAAGATGGTCCTAGGCAGTGCCAAATTCGGGGAGGCTGCACTTTTTCTGACCATTGTGGGAGGTGCCAACTTTGTTTTTATCAGCATTGTGCCCGTCGTCCTATATTTGACCCGAGTGGAGTACATCGAATCTCCTGGTGACATTCCCTGGGGTTACCTGTGTGGGGTTGCAGCCCTACTTTTTGGTAAATAAAATCACTATGATCTTGTCATCTGGTATCGCGCTTGACCGTAAATACGACTGCTCTCATTCTGCTTTTTCACACAGCTTTCAACATCCTGGTCAACTTTGGCATTGCCATAACATATCCAACTTCAATCTCCCTGGGCATCGTCTTAAGTGTTCCTGTCAATGCCAGTGAGTGACTTAGTATAAGTCAAAGATGTCATCGCTTAATAGTTTAGAGTGAAAATGCAGAAAGGTCCTTAGTGGTATAATATTGAAACTGACATTCTCATTGGATCTTCCTTTTAGATTCTTTCTTAATTCATTTTTATTATTCTTTGGAGTTGAATAATTTCCCGTCCAAAGTGTTTGAAGTAGCTCTACACAGTTACATTCGAATACGTTTTGACAGCACTTTACCATCATTAAATTATAGGAACGTTTCCAAATGACTTTTTCCCCCCCCCTCCTCACCTTACCAGTGGTGGACTTCTACTCATGTGAGATTAATTTCAACACCGTGCGCCTCATCGCTGTCTCCATCATCTGTCTGGGCTTTCTCATGCTGCTCCTTCCAGAGGACTGGGACCAGTGCATTATCCGCCTCAGCACCAAACTACGTAAACGTGACGAGCCGGCAGAGGGCGGAGCCCAAGCGGGGACCTCCACAGGGCTCAACTGGAGAGGCCGAACCAGGACCTCCATGTCCACATTTTCACGCTGACTGGTACCATGTAGTCTGAGTCACAATGAGTGGGACGTTTTAATGGCCTCCATTGCTGCAGCGTCCTTTGATGTGAACTTTCATCTGTAAAATTTGGACCAGTAAGAGAGATTGCCATTGACTACCATCATTGAGTTGATGCATGGACACAAATCAGATGTACCCTCCTTACTTAAATATAATCAGGTATTACAAAGTTACAGCTGTACCTGTCATCAATTTTTCCAATGCTCACCACCTGCTTCGCCTGGGAAGACTTGTCAATTTTATTGGAGAAGAAATTCAGTACCATGTGGACTTGGCTGGCCTGAGGACAAAACACATGCTCAACAATCCAAAGAATGCCTACAAATGCTGAATGCCTGCAAAATAATGGGAGGCAGCGAGTGGCATCGCTCAGGTGTCATGACAGATTCCTTCCTCCTTGCACTGTACATAACAGCTCGAAGTTCACACCTTGCGACACGATGTGCTCCTGTGGTGTGAACAGGCCCGTGTGGACATGCAAGGCTCAGCGTGAGCTCAAAATGCCGTTACTGCACCTCGTGCCGTCCGAAGCCTTTTTTTTTTTTGGAGCACTCTGATTGGCCCCCTGCATTCATGTGCCCTCCCGGGGCTAGGCTGGAACTACTGTCAAAGTGGAAGGGGCAACACCTGCCGCTCTGGCTGGCAGTCTAGTCGAGGGCTCTGAAAAGTAAAATGTGCAATGCATGATTAGCCTGGATTGTCATGAAGAGAAATCGCTTTCAATTCAGCCAACTTGCTTAAGGTTTTAGTCGTTTAAGTATTGTGACCTTTGGTTGAAAGCAATTAGAGTCACTGTGAACGGAACTACATTGAGCCCCCCCCAATACCCTTTGGATTTCTCTCATTTATGTACACTCACAATTAAGTTATGAGGAGCAGGTTTCAACTACTATCTCCACTATCTCATTTTTGTATGCAGTTGAAAAGTTTTCTACTTTTTCACTTACTGGACACTTCATTAGGTACACAATCTAATAAGATCCAATCTAGGGGTTATGTTAATGAAAGTATGATATGACCAAAGAGTTATCAAAAAATGTTTGGTATCGTGGTTGGAATTTGCAGTGGTGTAAAACTACATCTTCATCATTTTTAAGGAGTATGACTATCATCTTTGAAAGGCAGAATTGCTGCATTCCCTTGGGTAATGTCTGGGAGTATACCAAGCATCTTTTTGGCGATAGGTGATTTAGGCGAGGTCTCTTTTCTTTATAATTTTTAATACTTGTGTGCGCGTGTGTGTGCATGCGTGTGTGTATGTATGTATGTATGTATCTATATATATATATAGATATATATATATATATAAAAATGTAGTTATTCACAAAAAAAATATTAAAACACTAACATCTAATCGAGGGGAAGCGAAAATTCGAGGACTTAACTGTAATTGAAGACGCGTTTTGCATTGGATCTAATTCGATGGTGTGTACCTCATGCTGTGGCTGGTGGTTGTAGCTTGGAGGCACGAGCTATCTTTTTGTTGTTCTTTACTGTATTTATGATACTTGAGGCAAGTTACCAGCGCAGATGAAGCTGAGCCTTGAATGAAGAGCTGGAAACTGCCTTGTTGTGAATGTATGAACATCACTACGTGCTGCAATCTGCTACTTACAGACTTCTGCAGACAAGCAATCATCTGCATTTTTTTTTGTTTGACACCTCATAACATACCTTTCATATTTTCTTACATCTGGCTGCTGTTGAGACAGGGCAGGCTGATGATGACGTCACAGTTATCAAGACCACTTCCCTGCCTTCTTTTTGTTTTCACTGCAGTATACATGAGCACTGTTTCCCATTGTCATTCCCAATGACAATAAACAAGTATATTGTATTCCTCTGGAATTATTGCTAGACATAAATGTAAACCTTTGTAAGGAATGACGATTTTATACACTGAGATGCAACATACTGTATAATTATCACATTTGAGGAAGGAGTATGGAAAGTGTGATTATTAAATGATGGGTTTATTTGATCTGGTGGTGGTGGGAAGGGGCAGGGTCTTCAAGTATATTCACATATACTTCATAAAAGATTACTTTTCAATACATCAATTGTCCAAGTTTGGTTTCTTCTTGCCAACGTGACACTATTGGAAAGGTTTTTACAAAGGCAGATTGAGCTTTTCAGTGAGATGTTTTGTGGCTGAAATGTACTGTTTCGATCAAAACTAGCATAAAGTATAACCTTTGTTTGATGTTGTAGAGAGCATCAGACCTGAATGTTAGTTGCACTATATGGGCTTTTACACCTGCAGGAGCTAAAAATGGATGACAGAACCTATTACAGCTTTCTCATTGTTCTGGAAAGACTTACTGAAAGATTTAGGATGAAGTCCATGGTCATTTTTGTCCTTTCATCTGGAGGTCATAAATATTGGACTTGAGAGTAGCACATTGATACTGGCTCAGGAAGAGGCCTTCCCAAAACCCTCTTAAAAAGTTGGACCCGGTAATTGTCCAAAATGTCATGCTTACATTCAGCAGGGACTAATTTGTCTCATTTAAACCCTGATAGATGAACTAATTGACCACAGAATGTGTCCCAAAAATGTTGCCCATTTTGTTCATGTGAGAAATAGGATTTCTGATGGGGCATGCTCTACTTTCACGGTAATCTGACCACAGACATAAGTGGCCGTTGGCGCCACAGTCACAGTAGAAAATGGTAGTGTGCCGCCCTCTTGCGTCCTACAGGGGACCTGCAGGCAATTCATCCTCCTGCCACTACAGGGGTCTTGCCCAGTGGAGCAGAATGGGGTGGTGACTTTTTCATGAAGACACGTTTCGTATACATTTTCACTGGAATGATGCTTGTAGTCAGTACTGATGGTGAAAACTGGAGAGCAATACTGGGAGGTGTTTGAGCTGGAGTTCGGCCCGGGAAGTGGGGTGGTGAGGCTGCAGGGGTCCACCTCACCCCCCCAGCTGACAACGCTCCCCACTCCAGCTCTCAGCTTCTGCCTTAGCCCCCGCAGAGCTGCCTGGAAACGTTTGCTGAGCAGTGCATAGAGCAGAGGGTTGAAGTCGGAGTTTAACAGCACTAGAAAGTAGGAGACAGTCAGAGCAGAGGGAGGCACTAGGGAGGTTTCACCAGAGATTGCTGCTTCTGTGGCCTGAAAGAGAGCAACACCAATGTAGGGGGTCCAGCACAGGAAGAAGGCTAAGATGACCAGAAAGAGGCGAGCAACTCGCTGATGGTGCTGCTGTGACTCCAGAAGGGTCTGGGGGGATGACAACATGGAGGATAACTCCCTGGAGGGAGTTGGGTGAGCAGACACACACTGTCTACTTCGATTGTAGACCATTGTGGAGGGGCTGTGCAAAGAAGGAGGGAACATCGTGTTTGGATCCCTACTGCGTTGAACCGAGTCCTCTAAGCTGTGAATCCTCTTGGCATGGTTACGGGCTACTTTGACGATGTTCACATAGCAGACAAGGATAACGATGGCAGGCATGACGTAGGAGAGGCTGGTCATGGTGGCCGTGTAGCTGGGACTGCTGGTCCAGTCCACTACACAACTGTACGCAGGAGTCACATAGGCCACAGAGCTCCAACCCAGCAGTGGGGGGCAACTGGTTGCCATGGCCTGCAGCCAGATCCACACGACCACCGAGCACATCCTCCACAGGGTGCAGCGGGAGCTGTAGCGCAGGCAGTCCATGATGGAGTGGTAGCGGTCTAAAGCGATGGCAGCCAGTGTTAGAACAGAAACTGTGCAGTAGACAGAGGAGGTGTAGGCCACAAATAGACACAGGTTCTGTCAAAGGAGAAAAAAATGAATGAATGAAATCATAAGAAGACTCCGAGACCAAGAAACGTCTTACAAAACATTCGCCCCATCCAGGCTTCACGATGGACAAAGCAACAAAGGGCATGACGCCGAGGCCCACCAGGAGATCACTGATGGCCAAGTTCATGATCAACACTGATGTCACCTGGTGGAGAGTCTTGGTGGTTGCCACGAGGATAATGACAAGAAGGTTACCTTCACGAAAAATGAGTGGTTAGACAAGCACGTTATCACTGTCAATACCAACATTTTAAGGGTGACATTGTCCCATTTGTTAGGTTGCGATTTTTTTCTTTTTAAATTTTTACTCATTTGCAAAATCGCACCTCAAAATGCAAATTTCTCATTTGGAAATATATCAATATAGATTGATGAGTTCCAGTACATGGATTGTTAAAAACATTTGGCCTTACAAATGTAAATGCTTAGCTTTGACAGACAGTATTGCAGAGTTTTAAGGGTATTGTGGTTGAAGTTTGTCGTGTGGTGTTGAGAAGGGTCTCTTATTCTCCGTTACCCTAACGAGGAGAGTTGAATGACCAGAAAACAGCTTCAGTTGGTGACACCATAGCATAATTGAGAAAAGAAATATTGGACTGTGCCATTAAAAAAAAACTGTTATCTTTGTAAAGGCAGGGTTTTGAATAATCGGATTAGCTGTTTAAAGTTTGATTGGGGAGATGTCTTTGACTTTCTCAAGACAATACAAGATTATACTTTTGCTTATATTTACATTCCAGTTGTTACACGTGAAAGTAAAGACTGAATACCATCAGAAAGTGCGCTACCTGTCACCGAGCCCAGACACATCAATACCACCAGCACGAACAACAGCGACTCCATCCGTGTCGACGCGGCGTTCTCGGAATCATTCTTCAGGCTTGAGTTGACGGCCGCCGCTCGCAAACAGCCCGGAACTGACCAGCTGCCTTCCAGGACGTCCATTCCCCTGTCTTAATGAAATACACGTTGCCCGGTGCTCTGAATGAAAAAAACTGTTGACAAACAGAACGCTGAACTGCATCTGGTTTGGAAATACTCCGAAACGTCAGGTAACTACGTGACGCCTTCTTCCTCCCACTGACAGAGCCTCTGGAGAATTAGGACGGCCTGCTTCCACTTCAAACACATCTTTGCCCGTTAAACCCAGCGAGTACACACGAGATTCAGGCAAACTTTTATTTACACAAACATTCCTACTTAAAATCTATATACAGTTTAAAACACTGAAAACTTTTCAATTGACAAGCACAGACATTTCTTGCTGACTGCAAGCTCCACAAAACTGCATTACTGTAAAACTGTCTAGCTCTCACAAACAACTCAATCTACCTGTACATTGATCTATTCATTTCTATACTGCTTATGTGTGGGCTGAAACCTACAACTGACTTGGGCAAGATGCAGGACTGGTGGGCAGTCAATCACAAGGTACACATACAAACAAGCATTCACACTCACATTCACACCTAAATTCAATTTCGAGTCATCAATCAACCTAACCAGGATGTGTTTAGAACTGGGGCAGGGGAGCCAGAAGACCCGGACCAAACGGACACAAGCACAAGGATGACAAAAAAAAAACTTCACAAAGGATGGCTGGAGCCCAGATTCAAACCCCAAGCCTGAAAAATTTAAGACAGATGGGCTAATCACTTAAACAAATGTATTAAACACATCTAACTAAAAATGAAGTACTGAGTTTGTGATTTATATTTTTCTCTCACCACACAATTGTATTTTGTTAGTCAAGTTTAAAAAGTAATATTTTTGTGTTCCATCCATCCATCCAATTTCTGATACGCTTCATTTTCACAAGGGTCGCGGGATGTGCTGGATTCTATTCCTGCTGTCTTCGGTCAGTAGGCGGGGGACACCCTGAACCGCTTGCCAGCCAATCGCAGATATTTTTGTGTTAAGACTGGAAAATCCCCAAACTCTAAACTATACACAAGTGAATGTGAATGTAAATAGTTGTTTGTCTATGTGCCCTGTGCCGTCTCTCGCACTGAGTCAGCTGGGATCGGCTCCAACTCATCTGCGACCCTGATGAGAAACACAGAAAGTGAAGGGGACCAGGAAAAAAAAAAACACCCAGTGGCACCGTTTTACATAAAAATATCAAGTCAACGACGAATGCTTTTTGAGTGCAGCATATTTTATGCAGTGTTTTTTTAAAGTCCCTGTGAGTCAAAAAGTAATTGCCTCAGTGGATAACACAGTAAAAAATTGAATTGCTGCTGCTTCTCTGCAGGCACAGAAAATGGTTTTACTATTCCAACACGATGCTCAGTGGAATACTTGGATGGAATAAGCAGTGTTGATCTCCATTTCATGACCCATTAAGGCACCGGAAATGTACGCGTACAAAGACCACGGACAAATTTACATGATGAACAGGCTGATGTGTTTGTACTGTGGCTTGCAGTTAAAAGTGAACCACTACATTTGGTGACTGTTAAGACGCAAACACCTTAGGACCAGATGTCGTGTGGTTTGGTTCTTCAGCCGTGTTTTGACTTGTCTTGACTGGAGGTGCTGACGAGGCGTTGGCGAGTGTACTCCCAGATCAGCAGGGCAGCGCTCACATGCACGTTGAGCGAGCGGATGACCCCTTGCTGAGGGATCTCAACGCACACGTCGAGCAGCTGGAGCAAGTTGGCAGGAATGCCTTCTCGTTCATTGCTGTGATGACAGAAACAATCTTTAAGTGTGGGCCAGTTTGTTTGGGTTTTTTTTTTTCAATCCTGCCCATGATATTCATCAGTTCATGGCAATCTTTGACCATACATATTTAGGATACATTTACAAGATGAATACCGATGCTAAAGTTAATGGAAATATGATGCCTTTAAAAGAAATTGAGCTATACAAAAATCTAAATACTCCTGCATTTGTTTTTTTCAAGTTTACCGTGGAAAGGGGGTACAGTCATAAAATTTGTATTGTATTTCATTTATTAATAACTACATAAGCACAGCAATGTGGCATCACTTTCAATAAAGCTTCATAATTGTGGTTTTCATTTTATATGATGATGCCATACAGTACTGCCCCATCCACTGTGATTAATGAACCATGAATAGCCAAGTTAATTCATTTCCTGACGTGCTGTCAATCAGTAGTTGATTACTCTTGGCAAGAGACAGTGATGCGATGTGTGAGGATGCGACCACCAAAGCATCAAGCACTCTTATGTAATGAAGTGTTTTAGTGATATTACACAACACAGCTGAGCAATATGCTGTGGTATTGTACAGAGGAGGCTCACTGGATTGTACAGGTGTACGGAACCTGCAGTGAATGTAAAGGCGTAATGAGGGAAGCTTTCAATGAGTCTACAGAGGGCACAACACAGCAGGAACTGACAATGTAATGGTCTCTACTTATCCGGAGGGCAATTGGGTGGAAAGATTGCTCCTATTAAAAGAGGATCGCAACAAAACAAAACATCGAAAGATATATTGCACTGCCTTATTCCAGCAAAAGTAGGAATTGTAATGTCCCAAATACGTACATGATTGAAATTATGTCAATTGGCGTGACGCTCCAAATACTGGTACTTGAACGATACGACAACATGTATCTTTCTGTTACCTCATGCCCCAAACAACATCACAGTGGATGAAGGTCCCTGCTGCTGTCAACATTTTCTGCTGTGCTATCCTGAGGGAGGGCCAATTACAGAGCAACATGTTCTGACAGAAGCACCAAGAGTGAAGGGCCCCGCTGGGAAAAAGGCTGAACCGGTGAGTTCAAATTTAATAATCTCGCCGGCTCAGACATTTATCTGCGTAAAACTCAGAGGTGAATGTGAAGAGGATGCAACTGACAGAAAAACACTATTTCACAAGGTGGTGGTTCAGTTCAATTTTAACAGTAAAGCCTTGTAAATATGACAAATGTCCATAGTTTTGTTACACAAAATGGTCCTGGCCCAAATTTCCTCTCTTACTTACCATTTGCCACCCGTTTTGATTTGTAAAGCAAACCATTGAGGCACTAAAATAGCTTGAGCGTGTCTGCATGATTTAAAACGGCATAGTTTACAGTTTTTAGCCTCATCTTTGCTACTCCAGTTTTTCACCTCCATTCCAAAAAAAGGGTGGGTTAATTAAAGTCTCTTAATTGTGCAGCGGTGTGAATGTGAAGTACAACTACTGAAATGAAAACACTTGTGTATTCTGCCAATCTGAAATTGGACTTTAGACAGAGTTGTCGTAAATCATACCCAAGAAGTAGCAGAGTCTTCTCGGGAAACCGGTAGTCCTGAAGGCTCTGACTGTTGGAGGTCTGCTCCGCACCAACAATGCAGTAGCCCTCACTCTTTTTCATCTGCAGGAAGTCTGCCAGCTCCAATGGCTTTACCTAATGAGCAAATACATACAGTTTATAGAGGAGCACAAAAAAACAAAACAAAACCAAATGACAAACCGAAAAAAGAAACTTTTCTCCCTGTGCTACCATCATCTTCGAAATGTGACTGATGAAGAGGTACGTTGCTGCTCATTTTTAATCATGACTAGGATCATTTGAATCTAAAGTGGACTAGGTTCAGCGGCATAAGGTATCATTGAACAACGTAATAAGAGTCGACAAAAGAGATTACTCAAACATTCCAGCATTCCATTTAATTTTGAATCATTAAATCATGCTCATTATTGTGGTTACACTTGGGTAAAGTGTTGTACAAGGAGAACTGTGCTGCGTCATACTAAGAGCTAATTCTAATCCATCATTTTATTGCAGTTAAAGGCGACACCGAAATATTAAAAAAACACTTTCAGTACAATGCAAAACACCACTGCCAATGAAGTGGGGTCAAAGGTCATGCTCGTTACCTCTAGGAGAGGAAGCCAAAGTTCAGATGAGACACTGAGGGATTGAAAGTGTTTGTCGTTGATGTGACGGAGGTTGTCCAGGACCAACGCACTGGCACCAAAGATCTCACAAGTCCGGCACAAACCTACAAGCGCACAAGCAAATACATGTTGGTGATGTTACTCTCAGAGCTGTAGACTATAAACAGTGTTGCGTTGTCTTTGCTAAACAGTGTGATGACCTCCAAGGTTAGTGGGTTTGTCAATGAGTGAGGCGACCACCAGCAGGGCACCATGTTGTTTGCCAAGGCGAGCCGCTCTTTGCTGCAGAACCAGCTGAAGGTCCGGGTCCTGCCCCTGGATGTCCAAACACCAGGGGGTTATTTTCTTCTGCACCTCTGCCCAGCGCTCCTCCTTGTCCTCCTCACCTACGAGAGACAAAATCGTGACCATTCCCCCGAAAAAGCATCCGATGAGATTCAGGTGGCCTTGGAGCATGTGTGACTGTACTTTTATCCTGCTGGATCCAGTCTCCGGGCTGGAGCTGGCTCAGGTCAGGACTGGAATTCCTCAAAGGAGGCATCTGAAAAAAGCAGGACAGCTTCTCCAGCTTCCAAGGGGCAATCCACTCATCATCAGCTAAACCTGAAAGACTTGGAAAAGTGTAGAATATCGTCTAGGAAAAAACAAACAATAAGCAGTTATTTACGTGCAGAGTGACACACATTTTCACGAACTGTACACATTTACCTCAATGCTGTAATCCCTGATTGGATGAAAGGCACCAAAGAAAAAGTGCTCTTGAATCCTGGTCCAGTTCTTGTTTGCATTCCTAAAATTTAGCAGAAATCGTTTTAGCGCACTACATTGATGCTTTTGCAGCGACTGTCGTGTCAGATTCCCACCCAGTGTTCTTCAAGGCCTCAGTCTGGTGCAGACAGGCCTTAACTGCAGTGGACAGCCCCTTCAAATCATGAACTGTCTTCTCTCCTTGGACCTCAACCAAGCTCCATATCCGCTTCAAAGCCAGCAGGGCATAGAGACGCACGCTAAAGTTGTGGTGGAAACACCACTGAAGGGTGATGTCCAGTGCTTTTGCCAAATGCATATCCTTAATGACAAAGGAAATACTGTAAATACTATAAGGGCTGAGACGTGGTTTAACATCCAAAGTAACATTGTGAAGATGCCTCACTGGATTGTTCAGGGTGGGAATGATGACGCCGAAATGCACGAGGACTGCCAGGAGGGTGCAGATGCCAGTCTTGGTTCCTTCATGATGCTGCACCAAAAGCACAAAAATGAATGCTATTTTACTTGAAACCGTACAATTTGGCTGTATTGACACCACACTTACTTCAACAATAAAGAGCAACTAGTAAACCAGGAAAATAGAAGACGGTCAGCATTTTGCGTTCTTTTTGATTACCATAGAGCAAGTTTATTATAAAAGACAAGAGAATGGGGGAGTTGTGTTTTTTCCTATCTCGTTTCAATTATTAAATGGGATTTTTAAAAATCATAGAATCAACCATTCATGCGCTCACCACTTAATGTGGAAAGTGGGAATTTTTTGAAAAATATCAAAGAGTTAAGTCGAACAAAAATGTGCAAGCTTACCATGTTGAAGCAGGCCCAAAAATTGTCTATTTGTTGTGGATAACGGATAAGGATCAGAATCACTGTCCACTCAATTAGATACTTGACTGAAGCCTGGTTACTGCAGAAGCCAGCCTCAAAGATACTGCTCAGTATAGAGGCCACAAACTCCTGTGTGCATTTACAAAACAGGCACGATGTTATTCTTTTCCTGATAGCAAGTGCAATGAATAAGGTGTGAGTGACATACCTCTTTGAATTTGGGCAGCATCATTAGCAGTGTTTGCCATACTCTGTTTTTCACCCGGTGTTGTAGAGAGTTACTAGAGATGCGCGATGATTTTGACATGTTCTTGTCCTGGAAAGAAATTATGACAAAGTGTTTTGTTTTGTGTGTTTCAGCTGGTTGCAAATTGAAATTGTCATTCGCTGGGCAACGATAACAGTTGCGAGATGAACCACAATATATTACACATCTTCACGACACTGTATTTATAACAAAATAGATCTCGGCATTATGAATGAATTTGGAAGTATGGTAATTCAGTTTTGCAAAGATAATTACTGTATCTTACCTTTTCTAAGAGAATGACAACCAGCTGCTCCACCAGTCGTTGGTGCAGACTGTTTGAAGCATCCAGACGGCTGAGGAAAGCTAAGGTGCACATGCGAGGTAACTGCTCATCTCTGTTGTCACTGAAAGACAAAAAGCTATTGTTCAACTGTGACATGGAAAGAGACAACATCTAGAGGCAACATAAACAAATCAAAGCACGATTATTGTGACAATACAATAATATCCGATACAATAGAATACTGAAAATTCACGGCACACATTAAGATTAAGATATCCTTTATTTGTCCCACACTGGGGAAATTTACAGTCTACAGCAGCTTTAGCACATAAATATAATTAAATATACAATACAAGTCAACGGTAATAAAAAAAATAAACTAACAACAAGAACTGACAGATGTTTAAAAATAAATGTGCATATCAATATGTGAAAGCAGCTTTGGGACATTCTGTCCAGATGCTGAAAACACACAATTTGTTAAATAAAAGAATAGTCATGGAACCTCACTGTACTATTGTTGATATACTGTATATGCCCCCAACTTCTTCACATTGAACTCCATCATACCTACTTTACAAATCCTTTTTGACGCAGACGGCTATTGAAAAAGTTCGACAACTCAAGGTGACTAATAATAAATTTACTGAAAAATCTTCATAATCACAAAAAGGCAGCAGCTCACCTGGCGACGACAGTGTTGGTGGCACACACCGCACCAAGTTGCTCTACGTATGCCTGGACATCTTGAACAAGCCTACGGAAGAAAAACAGTAACTGAAGCACTTCAAGAAAGAAGCAACAAAGCACTGGTAGAATGTCAACAGTACCGTTGATCTCTCCTGAACACAGGCCCATAAACGCAGCCTTCAGCCATGATGTTGATATGACTAAAAACACTGGAGAAAATTCCGTCGGCCTGGTTACTGCTTTGTTCACTATCAGGCAACCATGTCTGACAACAGTGTTGCAGCAGAACACTAAATACGCCATTCTTGGACTCAGACAGCTCGATGATCTCAGTAGCAATCTGCACAAAAACATCAATATTACTTTACGAATATTGGAAATGCTGTATTTGTGCTGATTACCTGTTTCACGGTTGCTGTCAGCACGGGGGCCTGACTATCTGTGAGGAGCAGCAGCGTTTGATGGAAAGCGACTGAGATGAAGCCTTTGAGGGCAGGCCAGAAATCATGGGCGTTATTGCTGAGCCCATGTACCAGCTCCCAGGTCCGACTCACAGCTTCCACACAGAGGGCCTCATTTTCCTGCACTAACTGAGATCACAACGTCACACTTTTACACCAGATACCATCTTCCTGTCGAAACTCAAAACACACAGAGACTCACTTGTGGCAACACCGTCTCCATGAAAGTGAGAACAGGCAGTACCAGGTCACTGGGCAGCAGGGCGAGAGCATCCACGCAGCAGCTCAGAGCGGCGACAGCAGTCTCTGTGTTTCTGGGGACCTCGGAATCCCGAAGCATGAGTGTTTTGATGAGAAAATTCAGGCAAATCCACTGGTCCCGCATGAAGTGGGCAGCTGTGCGACCCCAGTCCTGCAGGAGAGGGCCTTGCCCACCTTCATTGCTGAGAAAGAATGGCTGTGGCACTTTAACATGACAGGCAAGTGTGTTCAACAGTGTTTTCAGACTCTCTTAATCACTGACCTCAAGCTGCATGCTGTGTGAGGTTTTAGGAGCCTCTCATTGAAGCGTCCCAGAGGTGAATGACTTTGCCAGAGAGACGGCATTGGCTTGTAGAAGTGCTCATTCAGTTGTTTTAAAAGAGAAAAAGTATCTGGGCCAATTGTCTGCTGCTCCATTAGGTGACATACCATGGCAAGCGATGCCATAGCAACTGCTTTGGCCACCTGGCTCGCCACTGAGGGAAACTACCGAAAGAAAAATGATGAATATCTGAATAATTTGAACGCTAGCAATAATATTTTGCTTCCAACCTGCTGGGGCGGTTCTTGCAGGATGCTGAGACTATATTTGATGAGTTTCGGAAAGCAAGCTTGTTGAATTGTAGAACGGTGCATGGACAGCTGCTTGAAGACACTCAAATACAGCTCGGCCCGCTGAACGTCACACAACTGCACAAAACAAAACAAACATCATAATCGATCAAATCCACAAGGGTCCTGATGTTGTGTGGACTGTTGTTTACCTCCATCATTTCCCCACACAGACGCCTCATGATAAACTCCTGCATTGAATCTCCGCACTGAAAAATAAGCCGCTCCAAAGCAGCTGTCACTTCATCCACTGGAAAAAAAAATATGAACTCAGTGAAAGGCTTTTATTTGTATCAATATTTTTGTCCCGTTTTGAGGACAGGTGAGCACTCTTATATTTATCTACCTTTCTCATTACAGCTGTGGACTAAACATCTGTATGAATCATCATGATTATACAAACCACCGGCTTTTGATGTTTCTCTGAGCTGTAGCAGTCGGAGGACAAGCTGAAAGCTCTTGTCACTCTTCTTCAGGGGCATGTAGAGATTGGAACCGACCCGGCTCAGAGTGTCCACCAGTGGAGATAGTAAGAACTGGAGCTCGTCACCAATCTTCGATCCAGCTTGACTCCTCTCAATGTCACTTAACAGCAGAATGGACATGGCCAACTTATCTGCTTCTTTGGGGTCAGGTAAGCTCTGTGTCTGACCTGCAAAGCAGACTAATTAAAACCATCAACAAAAAAAGCAAAGACTCTGAAAAATGTGTCTCCTTCCAAGCTCACCAGTGCATACTGGAACACTTAGAAATTCGTGTATTTTGCCTTGAACATGTGCTTTTATGGTTTTCTTGCTTGAAGAGGCACCCTCTTGACCACTTGGTTTCATCTTAAAATTGCCGTCATTGCTTGAGAGCCAGACACACACCTCCAAAAAACACAAATGAGGGGCAGCAGGTTTGCTAAATAAATTATGCTGTGCAGCTCAATTTGACTACCAGTAGTTTAATAAAAACAATACAGCATACCTCATTCCAAAGGGCTGTGCCACGACAAAGTGACTCGTCTGCCCGGAAATTGCCCAGGAAGGTAAAGATGTCGTCGAGGGTCACTGTGCTCTGAAAGTATGTTAATACAGCAGGGCTACATCTATGATATGAAAGCTCAGAAATGAGAATAAAATATACATCTGGAGTGCAAGTAGCCATTACTGGTGGGTTAAGAGGCAAAAAATAAATAAATAAAATCGATGAAATGTATAACTTTCAACAGGGAGGAGAATAAAACATGCATTTAGAATTTTACAATTCTACATCAAATCTCCAGTTGTGCCTTTGTGGCGTCTGCATGGTTTTCTCTTGGTACTCCGGATTCCTCCCAAATTCCAAAAACATGCATGGTTGGTTATTTTTGTGACTCCAGCTGGAATAGGCTTGCTCATCGGAAAGCCTGAATGCAATATGCACTAGTGATGTGTCGTTCGCGAACGTTACCACATCTATGAGACAGAGGGCGCTCTTCAATAAGAAGCACTGATCCTAAGAGGGAGCATGCATTTAGAATTTTACAATTCTACATCAAATCTCCAGTTGTGCCTTTGTGGAGTCTGCATGGTTTTCTCTTGGTACTCCGGATTCCTCCCAAATTCCAAAAACATGCATGGTTGGTTATTTGAGCCAAAAGAACTGGCTCTCTAAAAAGAGCCGGAATTCCCATCACTAATATGCACTAGAATTTGTACAGATACTTTGCTTACCACATCTATGAGACAGAGGGCGCTCTTCAATAAGAAGCACTGAGCTGCGCCTCTCAGGAGGACTTGATGTGTGATCATGGTGCAGCGCAGCACCTCCCTGTGTGTGGCAGACCAAGCATGTAATTAATGTGCACTTCAACTTTAAAAGTAGCATTTTCCTTCATAACATGAAGCAGACCTGAGAGCAGTGAGCCCCTCAATCGCCAATAGTGGACTTGAAGCAAGTGTGGACAGGGCCTGAGATATAAAAAGGAGGGGCACTGCACACCAATGCTTGGATCCAAGCTGCTGGATCATCTGCAGCAGGACGCGGCCTAAAAAGCAGACACAATTTTAAGCTTTTGTGAGCTGAGAAAAAGATTACCGGTACGCGTTGGTACCTCTGTCCTCTGTTGGCAGGCTGCTGAAGAAGTTCTTCAGGAAGATTTGGAGTTTACTTGCCAGCTCAGGGCAGTCCCCAACATGCTGGCCACCTGCCCTGGAGAAAAATACAACAATTAATGTCATCAGACTTATCATTATAAACAAATGTAATGTGATTTAAACATATTTCTTGATGAGTTTAGAATCTCACTTGCAGAAGAGCGATGTTTCTGACAGAACCTCCATAAAGGGCCCAACAACAAACTAGAGAGCAGATGAGACCAGTTTAACAATGAGGCAGTAGTACGTCAAGCGAAGTAAAGTCTGCGTGGACGTTCACCTGAGAAAAAGCTGAAGCAAAGGCTGGCTGTTGGAGGATTTTAAGTTCAAGCAGGTGACACACTCCCGCTCGCATTAAGGTTTTATTCTCACTGTGAAACATCCGCTGGTACACACAAAGCAACCATGATGGATGGAAGAGATCCTGACCTACAAATCAAGTGCACAATTAAGATGTGGAACCATAGTTTTATTTATTGGAAGTATACAATCATCTTATAGAGCAAACATCAATACCTTCATTTGCTGTAGTTTGGATAAGAGAGTCTATTCTGTTCAGAACCGGGCGGACAACATGGACCTGCATATAAAGAAGAAACACCACCATAATCTTAGCAGCACTATTGGAGTGGCCATGGCCCGTCATCATCAAAATTGCTTTTTGACCTGATTTTCCTCCAACGTCTCCATCACCAGAACATAATCCTCCCAGAACTGTCTGAGCATCTTGCTGCTTTCGGCGGTCCATTTGAACAAGATTTCCTCATCATTTCCTTCAATAACAAGATCGAAAGAAAGTGGTTCATAAACATAAGCACAGAACTCTTCGGTATATCGCAACAATCTAAGGAGAGACCGACAAAAATGCCACCTTCACAACAATAAAAATGGAGCAATCACTCTTGAGCCACGCCCATGGAAAAGCACATGATCATTTATTCAAGATCCCTAATACCCAACTTAAGGTCCAGGTACTAGTACGATCTCTGTCCTCACTCGTAAGACAATTCAGTGCACTGATGGAATGGCTATACAGTATCATACTGGTATTTTTTCCCCCGCTTTATACTCGTGCCACTTTTGGCCTACCAGTATGAATTTAAACCGACATAGCTGCACTAAACATAACAAGGCCCAACTTGTAGGCATGTGACAAAATGCCCACAATTAGTTGCGTCTCTCAAGTAGCATGTAGTTGTTATACTAGTATGGAAAAGCTGAACTACTGATACGCAGAAATATCATACAGTGGTACGAAACCGTGACAAGAAAGACACAGCAATTCGGCCTTAAGATTGATGGAATATTGGATAAATGATATTTGGCTTTCCATATCCGTGAGCATTTCACCTTGTTGTGCAGGACAGTCGACTCCCTGCTCCTGTGACGATGCCACGCACCTTTTGAGCAGGTACAGTGCCCTCTTTCGGGACACGCTGTCTCTGTGGATAAGTCCGTCCTGAACCACCCACCAGAAGCGGAGACAGGGCCGAGGGTCTGGCTCAGTAGGTGCCAGCAGGTGGTCTGACAGGGAGGTCAAACACAGAAGTGTTCGCTCAGTTACGGCCGGTGTGCGCTCCGATGCGTGCCAGGTGCACAGCTCGTTCAAAGTCTTGTTGAGGATGCTGCCGTGCACTGCATTATTGCAACAGCCGAGCAGGGCTAACATGAGCCGGACGGTGACCCGGGAGAGCAACCAGTCTGGAATAGTTCTAATGCCCGACAAGACACACGACAAAATGCTCGACATGAGCTGCTCGTCTCCAGATAAGCAAGGTAGGAGGGCAGCCAGGACTTCACTAGCCACCTCCACACCGAGTCTCTCCACGTTGGGTTGGTCCTCATTTGACAGCTGGAGCGAAGGCAGGACGGTCAGAGCGGCTCTGCCCGCCACAGCCGGGTCACATAAACGGACACAGATGGCCACAAGTCTGCAGACAGCTGCTGTACTCTCCCTATATCGCACATCATCAGTTTCTGCTGATATCCTGGAGAGAAGAGGCAAGCAATGCGTCCAAATGATAGAAGTTTTTTTTTCTAGGATACATTGTCTTTTTGCGGTTGTCAACAAATTCGTTTCTGATTGAACAACAATTTGCTCGAGTCCTTCTATGAAAGCTGTCAGTGCCTCAACGCGCTCCATCTCCGGCCACGCGTCAGCTGGCCAGCACAGGGAGTCAAACAGAAGCTCGTAGTTAGGAGAAGTAGACAAGATTGCGTTAATTAAAACAGAATTCATTGTAGTTAATCCCGACGAGGTCAAAATATAGCAATTAGTAAAAACTTATCCAAACGGCTTTTCTCACGGCACGTTGACACTGTGGATATTTGAAAACTTCCGTAAACGTCATCACGAAATCCCGCGAGAAATCGTCGGATCTCCAGCTACCGCACAGCACTGTACTGTATAACACAAAAACCTACAGAAACGGACATTTTTGCTTCATGTAGACAGCGCTATACATCTTTTGAATGTGACCAATTATTTTCTGTTACACGCAGGAAGAAGGAAATACCTCTCAACTCTCAGCCGCCACTTTAAATAGGCTATAAAATCGTTATAAGCACACCTGCATAGTACTGTATCTTTTTTAATATGAAAGAAAACAAAGAAAGAGAAAAATAGAGCAACTCACAACAAAGAATAGCCTTATTAACATTGTTTTTAGTCTCTCTCTGCCTTTCTCTTCAGCCGTTACATTATTATTCCATTTTTTTTCTCGTCAGGGGTTGGTCACTGCACTTATCTCCTACTTTGTGCAGTGTGTGTGCATGCTTGCCCCCCTCCCCCTTCGAAAATCCCCAAAAAGCACGCACACAAACGCACGCCTTCAAGCCAATACTCCCTACACACACTCTGACAGTGAGAGCGCCACTGCCACCGACTGTAATGTTTATGTATTATATGACATTATTTTAGTTACGGCAAAAATAACAACAACAACAAAAAAAAACATTCCCTGGGGTGACACACACACACACACACACACACACACACACACACTCTGGTAGCGCATAGGTATTGTTTTGGTCTCATGAGGAAGAGGACTTTTTAAATGCAAATTACTATTCATGAAATCGTACAAAAAAGCCGCAAAGGTTAGTTTTTCACCAAAAACCAACATATCCCTAACATTTTGTGAGTCGTGTATAATATGTATACATCTTCGAAATTCATCTGAAAGAACTTGGGAAAACGAATCAACAGTGTGGATGCTCAATAACACAAGCTTGTCTTCAAAGTGCTGGTGGGGGTTCTCTGCCAGGAAGACAGTCTGGAAGAAAAGCTTCCAGACAAACATCTCCCATTATTACTGCCGTCACATGACCAAAGCAGTCCGGGAGGGTCTGGTAAGAATTGTACCTCAGTTGAGTCAGTAGGTCAACAAGTCTCAGGCATCAAATCGTTTGTAACGTTTCGAATGAAATACATACATTACATTTATGATTCCATAAAAAGAATTGTGCATATGTCTACATACATACACTTGTGTATCAGAATTGCAATTTTGTACACAGACAAAATAGTAGTAAGTAGTAAAATTTATTTTTGCTATCATAAAAAAAAAAAAAAACAAAAACAGTGCTTTATATTAAAACGTTTCAGCATTGGGAAGAACCCGCAGATTGGTCATACATTATCAGAATAGAGTTTCAGTGTTTAATCACTAGCATTCCTTCCGAGTGAGGTCATGCTGGCTAAAGTTCTTCTTTTGCATACTAATTGGCATTTACAAAACTGTGAAAATATCTCGGGGGAAAAAATAACTTTACAGAAAGGATCTTTGTTTGGAGGTTACATAAAACAAAAATACTGCAGATTCGTTGTAAATGTCACAGTTGCAGAAATAGAGCTTTGCAAACAGTACTGTTCTAATTATGAAAGCAGAAGACGAGCTTAAGCATTTGGAGGCTTTGGATGAATGGTTTACAAGCTGTAAAGAAATGTCTTTTTCCACACTAGTAGCTACATTTGCTGAGGCGGAATAACAGGAGAGGGATGACTGAGCACACTAAAAAAATGCAGTGTAAAATGTTACTAAGAAACATTATCATTGGCACTGTGACTTCTGAAGATTTTAAGCATATAGCAAACACATTCCAAATGTTCTGACAGTGCTGGAGTACAAATAGATTAAAGGAAATTCCATTTGATAAATATCTAAAAGATCACAATGTAAAAATGTATTTTGCCCTTAATATTAACCCCTCAAGAAATTGCTGGCGTACAAAACATAATACAATTGCATTTTTTTTTTGTATACAGAAGTTGAAATGTCATGAAATGAAATTGCAGGTAGTATCTACAAAACATCGAAAAAAAATCAATAAATATGTCAGTGACAAAGAAATGTTTCTGGTAAAAAACAAAACAAAACTGGGATCCACAGAATTGTCAGCGTAAAATAAACAGATGAAAAATGGAACGCATGAAAAATGGTCACAAAAAAAACTCCCATATAGATCCCGTAGGTAACCTTCATTACACATAAATGAGGCAAACGTGAGGACTTCTTTGTTTGTTTACAGAACGAATTCCAGAAAATGTTCATCTGCTAGCAGGTCCAGTGACAGACAGTTGGTAGACCTGCGACCATAGAAGGAAGGTTTGGCTTGGCAGTGCAAAAAAGGGTAATAGTCGTGAACTAAGGGCATCTTGGTGTCTGCCGAGGTGTCCGAGAGGCCGAAGGTGTAGCTCTGTGAAGAATCTGCTTGTAGTGTGGTCCCCAGGGGTGCCTGAGGTGGGAACAAACTGACATCATCAAGACTGTGGCTGTGCCGGTCCACATGCGATCTAGTTTCTCCCACCTAAAGAATAACATAAGAAAGTACAGAAAAAGACAAACATGATAAATTCCTCTGTATTAAAAAATAAATAAATAAATAAATAAACTCGGCAAATAATATGAAACATACCTGGGTACTGGTGCCATCTAAAATTAGGAGATGCTCATTGTTGTCTGAGAGGCAAACTTTGTTCTCTGGAGCAAATGTGTAATACAACGTATTATTGATCTGTGAAAAACTAAATCAAAAATGCATTACTAAATGCACTTTACGTCATAAATATTGTCACCTGGCGAGGTTATCTCAGAGGAGAGTGTGCAATCGACTGACACACCATCGAGAAGATCGGCCAGCTGGAACATCTCATCTGGATAATCCGCAAGAACTTCCTGTCTGACATCAGTCTTCATTTCTGGAAAACAATAGCAGCCTGTATCAAAATTAAGCGAGGCGGCCAACTGACATATTTCACCTCCAAAAGAATCTGTTTACAAAGGGTGAAAGAACTGAAATCATGTCCTCGAAGTATAGAGCTACAAGTTCCAAGATTTTGACTGCACCTTCCAGCACTTTTACACAAGAACCTTCACAAGCCATAGCTTGTGAAATACAAGTACTTTGACCCATCATTCTGAATCCTTGAGAGATTAAAATTCCAGCATTTTCATCAATCTGCAGCACCTGGTGTGCGAGCGGGTGTGAACTTCTCAGCTTGCTCTTTCCACTCCTCATCCTTAATGTGAGCTTTTCTGCCGCTGCCGAGGCCAGACGTGGAGGAGCTAACTTGGCTGGCGGCAGAGTAGGAACTCCTCTCTGCCTTCTGTTCCGCTTCCTCCTCCATGGAGGTCATCTCTGTCGAGATGCTGTGTTGGCGGGTGTCGGCTTCGATACCCGAGCTGCTGGTGGAAATCCGGGACAAACCCGGGCTGCTTTCGCTGCCTGGTGGGTCCAAGTCCAGATCATCGCTGATGTAGGATTCTCTGTAACGCTTTTTTTCTAAAACAAAGTGAACAAAAAAAATTCTGGTCAGAAGCAATGCAATGAAGGAAATTGCCTCTCTTGTACCTTCACTCTCCTCAAGCTGGCGGAGGTGCTTGAGGGCAGGCTGGAGGCTGAGGTAGATGCGATGGCTGCGGCTAAGGTGCAAGAGAAGGTGTCGAGAGCGGAATGACGACCCAGTGTAGTAAACAAGCTTCCTTGCTGACGGTAAGCCATCCGGTTGAATCTCAAATTTCTTTCCCTAAGCAGAACAACACACAGTAAACAGTCACTGCCAACTACACAATCCCACTTGCTGAAAGAGAGAATAGAAATGATTACTAGGAAGGTGAGTCGTCCCACATTGGACCAGGGAAAGTCATATAGCAAGTGTCTGATGTTGTTCGCCTCCTGCAGACACACAAAACAATTTATTGTAGAATGTTTCAGATTCAAGGACAATTCAGAAAGTGCCAATCACTAACATTACACATATAACAACTATAGTTCCACTAAATTGAGGGCAGACACGTGATTGTGTCCAACAAAATTTGTGTGGAAATTAGTTTGGGATTTTTTCTGCTGAATCCAATAACAAACAAACGACATTGGTAAACATAGCCTCCTCTGTGTGGTTAAAATTATTTTTGGGTAAGCTATGTGTAATTATAAACTAAAATGAGAGTTTTCTTGTCCATTTTGTTTCGGCCTCTGAAACGTGGAGAGGCCAAGGGTGTCTTGTTGTATCTCATGGTCCGTTTAATCGGCCAGACCCCAACACCCTAATCCCCCCCAGATGGTCCCTGATGGACACATCAAACAAGTGATGCATTTGGCAGATGCCTCGTATCTGCTGGTGCACTCTTGCTGGTGGCAACCCACACATTCCTTACACGTCTGCTCAGGGTTTAACAGGCCACGGATCCAAAGAGTAAAGTCAGATTTTCTGTTTTGCACGTCAAATACAAGCAGCAGATCACCAACCCATTCGTTTGTGCACATACCTGATAAACCTGCATTCCTCTCAGGGTCAGGCCCAGTACTGCCGTTCCCCTCTCTTCCTTCTTGTCCTGGACACATGAATGATGAGATGTCAGTGAAGCTTTTGAGCTGAACAGATAAGACTGAGAGTCTGGCTAAACCTCCGTTTTAGGTGGCTTTTCAGCATTAAACAGCGGCTTGGAACATATAAAAGGTTTTGTCCTTGACTAATGACCTTTTGCAGTCTGTAAAATGTGACTGGTACGTCCTCCAGTTGACATGACTCTCTGATGAAGAGGAGGATGGCATCACGTGCCGACATGCCCCACAGGTCCTGATGCAGTTTGGGGCCATGGCAAAGGAGATAGTTCAGTCCCCGCTTGGCTATTATCTAGAGAAATGGAACAAAGGAAGAAAAGAAACTATAAGCATTTTGATGGCAATGGCATTATATATAATAATATAATGGTATAAACATTCCCAATAGTAATAATAAGTACGCTTTGTCTTTTTATTTGTCCACTGTAGTGATTGAGCATAACACTCAATACTCCATTCGCAAAGGTAAGAGGCCGCATTCCACCCTAAATTAGCCCCTTGCGTGACTCTGGAGAGGATAAGCAATACACAAAACGTATGAGTGGATTGATTATGAAAACTCCCTTGATGCGGTGGCTGCCCATATTACGTATGGGTGACCACTTCACACCATCGCCGTAATTCCTCAGCAAATATTTTGACTGGCAGTTCAAACTTTATCTATCTATCTATAAAAAAAAGTAAAACAAACTGAAACGTGAAATGCATGCTGTATACCCATGGAGGAAAGTACTCCTTGGGTTCGAAGTAAGGGGCACTCTCTTCGCCGTCCTTGGGAAGCTGGTGGTCACCGAGGTCCGCCTGCATGGCGTAACCTGCTAGCTGGAAGTACACTTCCTCCTGTTGACGGCATTCGGAGCGTAACACCCGCTCGCGGAGGTCAGAGTAGTAGAGATGGCGTGCCTTGCGTTCACTGGTACCGAACCCAAAGAAATGAAAACATGACGAGAGGGTTGCACAAGGTGTCAGTAAGGAGGACAAAGATGGATGGTGTACAGTAATAATAAGAACACATGAAAGAAAGCTTGCCAAGAAGTGGTGCACGGGTGAGGGTACACACCTGATAAGTCTTCCGTTCTCAACATAGTACTGCACTTTAATGCAGAGCACTAGAGGAAAGGCTCTCTTCTCAAAAGTCTATGGGAATAAAGACATGGGTGGGTATTTTGCATTTACTCTCACGAGGTTTTGTGGATTTTTCGAGGGTATGTCACTGACATGGGATGAGTCTCAAGTTTGAAACGAGATACAGTATATAGATCGTTGATGTATAACAGTAAGGTGATTGTCTGCGTGTACCATAATGTTCAAAATAAAATTAATTTTCCAATTCTGATATAACTTCAAATGTAAACTGTTAACAGTCTTTTAAATTATTTTGGGGAACAATAAACAGACTTTTAGTACAGTACTCTTAACATAATATTGAAATATGAAATAAAACTGTGCATACAAAAATACAATAGTGGCCTGATCACTACAAATCTAATGTAGTGTAAAATGTTATATATTATTTGTACTCTGAATGTCTTGCACAGTACATCTTGAGCTATTTTTTGACTACAATAAATATTGCCAAAGGGGGTGAAAAAACAAACAAACAAACAACAGTGGTGTTTTGTTGTATGTTATATGTTTGTCAACTTTCATAAGATTCCACACCTTTCCGGACTCTTGCTTCCATTCTTTGGGTAAGTACTTGGTCAACTTCTCCTCCATGTCTAAAAATATGCGCTCATTGTCTGAGCAGAAGAAAGACAACCGGGAAAACAAGCAGACAGTTAGCGGGCAAACAAAATAATAATGCAACCAGGCAGAAAATGTGTCCAACAATGGGCTTAATTGGGGTGAAAGACAAAAAGAAGGCCTTAGTCCTTCGTTAGAGAGGGAGCCAGCTATCTGGCTTACCCTAATTACTACCATTTTAGCAGTAGCTAGTTATTTGAATTCTCATTCAGTCGAGAATTTGACCACTATGCTGAGAATAAGGTGGTGGTATCAGTCTCTGCTTGTTACTTTGAGTCAAGGCATGGGCATTTTCCTTTTTTTTTTTTTTTTTTTTTTGGTCAACCTTATCTCTTTTGTTGCATAGCTGAATAATGTTCACCGAGCTGTTTCACAACTTGTTCTTGTCAACATCCATCAATTCCTGGGAGTTTTCTGGACCACTCTGACTCATTCACGACTCAAGTTCTTGAGTTGAAGTTGAGTCATTAGAAGACCACCCCACCTCCTCCACTCTGTACCCCCCCGTCCCCAGACTCCCACCCTGCTCATCAATCCATCCCTCCCCTCCATGAAGGGGAGGAATGCAAGGGTGCATTCCAGGCTTAATGAAGTTAATATTGCAGGAATCTCGGGCCAAGTGATCGCTGAACCAACACCAAAAAAAACAAAAGGCTGCTTGTTGCGGAGGTGAGCCACACGAGATTTCCAAGGCATCTCAACGCATTTGAGCAAGCAAGAATGAACGAAGCCAAGAAAGTATGGCTCAGAGGTCACTCAACATCCACTCGTGTAGACCCGGGAGACCTGAATGAAAAGCTAATGGTTTTCGGGAAATGTGTCATTTCAGTTTGGTAAGGATCATATTCATTTAATAATAAATTCGGATACCAGTGATGGCACACAGAAAAAAATGTGATGACAATCATACAACCACAAATGGAATTTATTTCGACGTAGCGCTGGTTATTTTGTGTTACACATGTACATGTCTTAGATCAGGGGTGCCCAAACTTTTTTGACTGAAGATCTACTTTTCGATCAACCAACCTCCCGCGATCGACCCGTTACCGCGCATACGCACGCACGCATGCCATGCGACTTAGGCAGCCTGTTAACGATCATAGCTCATGCGTACCGTTTTAAAATGCTTCTCTCGGCCCTCCAGATTCCCATTCTCCGCCTGTCCCCTCGGTGAATTGTACAAAACAAACTCTGAATGACAATAATGATAACGATAAAAGACATAGCGCAACAACTCTGATCACAAACTGCAACTGCAGACTGCTGAGCGATAACAACCTCTGGTGACGCAGTCACATGTCACCGTAGGTTAAAGATGACCTGCTTTATTTTATTTTCTTTTTTAAATACTTTTTGTGAAAGTGAGACTGATAGAATGATTAGGGTGCAGTGTGCATTAACACTAAAAATATATTACTAACATGCACAGAGACACAAATATTTGGCGTTTTTTTTCCCTCTAAATCAGTGGTTCTTAACCTTTTTAGAGGTACCGAACCCAACCAGTTAATATGCACATTCACCGAACCCTTCATAAGTGAAAAATAAATAAATATATTTTTTATAAATTCAAGATAAAAAAAAAAAACAAAACAAAAAAAAAAACGCATTTATTAAAAACAGAAAAAAGTAAATAAAATTTCAAGAGATAAAAATACTTTTTTTTTTTTTTTTAAATTGTACGACGTACTATCACGACAGTCACACAGTGACTACTGAGCGAACTAAATTTCCCGCAGCACTGATTGGACAAGCAATGAAAGTAATCATCTGCAGCCAGCGATGGCCAAGCGGACGTGTCATAACTAATTGACATGTTGAGTCGCGTGTGTCTTACTCTCCATGGCAGAGGCTCCATTGAACCCCTGAGACGGACTCACCGAACCCAGGTTAAGAACCATTGCTCTACACCCTTCGGATCGACTTGGGACCAGTCCTTGATCTACTGGTCGATCGCGATCGACGTAACGGGCACCCCTGTCTTAGATGCTCAGTACAATATAGCTTAAGTGAATAGTCCACATAAAAAACAAAAAAAAGAAGAATGGAAAGCAAAATAAGCAGTGTTTTTGTCTTCAAGGAAGACCTTGCAGTTTTAAAACTACCAGCAAGATTTGAATGCCTCAATTGCCTCATTTCACGACTTTCAGTTCCACTGTACTTGAAACACTGCTGTTGTATACACTAGTGTGGACAGGTCTTGAAGGAATCCGAGGAGTGGACTTACCTCGCACCACAGTGAGGCCAAACAAGTGCATCTCTTTGATACCAAGAAGCTCTCCCACCTGACTGAAAACATCTTGCGCTGTGGCCTTTGGCTAGAGCAAGAGAGTCACAGGGAACTGTGTTTACGATAAGAGGGGAAAAAAAACTATTTTGAGAGGCAGATAATTATAACTTGGAGTCAAACTCACCCCGACAGTGATCTCCAGCTGGTTTTTGTTGGGAAGAAGAACACAAATGTTTCTCTGCTGCTTTACTGAAGAGGTCATTGTGGCACCTTGTGTCGATCACAACTCTATTTTTAATTAAAGCTCTGAGCTGATCGGTGACACTTCATCCATATCAGATCTTTAAAAAAAAGATGACATCTGAGTGAGATCAGCAGAAGAAAAACACATTGAACAGCAGATGATGCAGCACTCCTTTTAAAATGGTCCAAGATTTGCCAACTAACAGTCTTCTGTGACTTTGATACTCACTTATGTCATTGATTTACTGTCCATTGTGTCAAAGGAAAAATACATCAGTACTTAATCCATCACGAAGATTATTTCAACAAAGCGTGCCGACCGAAAAAGACATCAACATCACTTAGCCAAGCGTATACCACAGAAGGCTATGGCACAGATGGTTATTGATCCAATTCATCAGGAAACTAAATAAGTGCATAATCGAACAAAAAAAATGTGAAAACACTTCATCCTGCAAATCTTACAAGACTGAGCTCATGACAGATGGAGGAAAAATAAATCTATTAAGATATACAATATCTGATCTAGTTGCGCAGTTACTCGCAGAGGTGAATATGGTGGTGCCTAAAAACCTGAATGCTGCTCCTACCACAGTATTGGGAATTTTCTGGGAAGTGCTTGCTTTCACAGAAACAAAACAGACACATTGTCATACATGACATCAAGCAAGATCAAAAAGACTGAGACGTCAGTGTATCTTAATACACCCAAACTGCAGGCTGTTTGCCACGTAGCCTCGCCTCAAGTTAGGCCTTCACGCTAACCCCCTCAAGCCCCAACTGGTACATGGCTCATCTGATTAAAGTCTTAGGGTGATTTAATCAGTTTAATTACTGCCGTGCTCCGATTCTGATCCCTCTAAAACCTGCTCTTGACAATAAACAGTCAAAAGCAAAGTAAGTGGCAGTGACATTGCCTTTGTACAAGTAAATGTTCAACGCACCGAACACCTCTATTGAGTCTTTCTCAACAAAAAGTAAATGCTGCTTTAATTTGTCCCCTTAAAATGTAAAGAAGTTAATAAAAAAAAAAAAAAAAAAACAAGCGGGAACAGGTCAACTGAAACTGGAGTCACCTGCTCATACACCTACTCTACTTCTTCCAAGAGGATGGAAAAAAAAACAAAAACAAAAACAAAAAATAAAGATAGCTAAAAACAACTTGTAGTTATGGTCCCTCTCATGTTTTGTTTTACAATGTGTTTTTTACACAACAGTTCTAGACTCAGAAGTAAGAACATTGTGTTACCAAATTTGACTTTTGGACATGTTCAAACAGAGTCACGCTCACATCAGGATGTCAGGACAAACTGACGTCCAAAAACCTGAACTTCCAGTAAGATGAAAATCTGACTCGCTCACCATGACAAGTCACACAATTAAATCTCAACTTCATTCAAGGCATGATAATGTCGCAGACATCTTCATTCAAAATGTTGTGTGAAATACACTGACATCAAAATCACACAATCATTTACTTAAAGTGAAGCTTTTTGAAATTTTTTTTCCTATCAAACAATAATTGACACAATCAATGAGCACTTGTGGTTAATTGGAAAAAAACATGGGGAAAAAAGCTTACTAATTTTAATAATGGGCAATATTAGTTCACTAAGATCTGAGATGACTTCAAACTTAAGTTTTTTTTTACCTCAGGAAATTGCCTAAATTGGGTAGGGAGTCGGGGACAAAAAACAAACAAAACACAACAGGGGGAAACCCAGACTGACTGATCTGAGCTGAACCATGAGATTATTTTGGCTCTATCTTCATTTTCACCAACATCAGTTCAGAGCCACGTTGCGTTTGTTTCTTTGGAGTCTATTCTAAACGTTCCCCCTCTCCAAGTGCTCATAGAAACACCATTCGATTCTGGCATTTAATGATGATGCAGCATTTCACGTTCCATTTGACTGCTTTCATAATTTTTCCCCGTTGTCATCGTTTGATCTTGGCCAGCAGTGAGAAAGTCATACTGTTACAAGATGCAACTTTGAATGCAGCAAAAGAAAGGAAGAAAAGAGCTGAAAGGGTTGCTTAGCAGCTCTAAACATTCCTTGATTGGGAAAACACCCACTTCATCCTCCATTGAAAAGGATGCACCTACTGAAGGCGTATAAAGGTGTGGACAACCTCGGACTAAATGAGAGATGTCTATAAATCTACTGTCAATAACTTTTTTTAAATTAATTTAGATGCAGTCAATGAAGTACAACACAGATTACGCTTGGTTTAGGGTTGAACCAAGTTTACAGTCAAAACGCAGAGACAATGTAGGCTGAGACATCCCCAGCTAGTTGATGACCAGGATAAAAGCTGTCTTTACATATGCCAAATGCCATCTGCATGCTTATTTAATACCCTCCCAAGACTGTTATAATCCCTATTGCTGGAAAAACAACCCCACTGCACCTTCCAGTTTTTTTTTTTTTTTGAACGCCAACTGTAAACCAAACTGACCAAAAGCACACACACACAAGTCGAGGAGTAAAAAAAGTAAAGAAAGGGTCTGTCTATATCTATATACAGTATCTATATTTGTATCTCTCTCTATATAGAGAGAGATTCTTTCAACTGGGAAACAATACGAATTAATCTCAATCCAATTTGGACGTTTTAAGGCTCTGAGGGACTCAAATTTAGATTTGAAACCACGAATGCAATTGTTTTATGTTGATTATAAATGGACAAACGTAGAAGATAAGATAGCTGATGATAGTTGGATGAAGTCACAAGCAGATTTCAAAATCATCAATAAAAATAGTAGTAGGGGAAGCATTAAACCGGTTCCACTCAGCCAGTAACGCTACAATTTGAGAGCAACAAGTGCGCTAACTCCAACTTGACGTAAATCAGCAAAAACTCACCGGGCATCACATGTCGGAGATCAGTCTCATGTGTTTCGACACAGCTTTCTCTGGCGGTGGCTAAAACATGTTCTTTTTCTTTTCTACTTTTTTTTAATGTAAGTTAAATACATACATATGCTAAGAGGATGAAAAACTTAAACGCCTGGCTATTGCGTATGAAGAATCACAAACCACACAACCCACAGAAGCAGATTTGGACTGTACCACTTCCAAGACTTCAGGGGTGTACTTCAGTACTGTTTTGCTTCTGTTATGTTCAAGAAGTTATTTGAAGAACGCTAACTATAACATTTGTTTTAACCCTTTGAATCACACCAGGGGTAAAGTAACAATCTTTTATAATACATCGTGGATTAAAATACTATTTTCCTTTATTATGATAGTGACTATTTACCTCATGTATGGGAGACTCATATTATTCCAATGAAATGCAAAATATTGTTATTCATTCAGTTGTCTCATTTCTTTCTTTCGTTATTTATTTAATTTATTTAGGTATTTTTTTGGAAATACATTTATTTTCAAAATGTATGTGGCCTGCGAGAATTGCTCAGGGAATAGAAGGGCGTAGAGCGGTTTCCTAGTAGTGTGTCCACCCCTATAATTAGATCTTTTGATGAACATCACTCAACATATTTCCACCATAAATCTTTGCTTTTGCAATCCAGCTCCTTGCTTTGAAATCAACATTTAGCAGCATGTCTTGGTTAAAAAACACTGCCACCTACTGGGGGACTTGATTTGACAACGACTGCATGTCAATGGTACAAAAGCACCCTGTCTCGTCTACATGTACTGTACTATTAAAAATGCAACAATAATGTTCAATCTGAAATTAAGTTTTATATTGTCAATTTTAATTGTACAATGATATAAACATCCACCCATGAAACACGTTTTAAAATCCAAAAAATGCTTTCCAGTTGCCATAATCACCCAATGTCAACAACCAAATACTTTCAATACATTCTCAACAAACGGATGATAGAAACCAAATGTGCTTTGTTCAATGATGAGCATTTCGTAAATCCCCTCTGACAAAATGTTATGGTGTAGCTTTATTTTCTCCAACACCTTGTTGGCAAACGTGCACAATGCTGCATAAAGAATTAAAAACAAATGAAAAGCTTCAAAGTCTCAGCACAACATAGCTATTTCAAATCCAGTCTTTTTTTTTAAGGATGGAAAATAGTCAATACAAAAGCAATCTGTACAAATGAATTTTCTGTACAAAAGCTTGTAAAATGTAGTTGCGGTGCAAATGAATGCAAGGTCTCGGAAAAACTGTCAGAAAGGTTTTCAAATGGTGACTGTGCAGACTTGCCATTTTAAATATGTAGCAGCTCTAGTTTCATTTCAATTGCTAAAATGAATTGATTAACATACAGTTGTATAGGAACATACATAAATAACAATGAAAGGAAACATTAAAACTTGGCAAACGTTGCCCCTCCCAGACAAACAACACTGACAGTAGAAAAATAAAAAAAAAACTCCATAAAAACTGAACAGAGAAGGGAAAAAAAAATAATTATGATGCATGTCTTATTTCATTAAAAAGTATATACAAGTAGTCCAACAATTGTCAGTGGAGGAAAATTCAGATAAAGTGAGGTATTAACTCCACATTCTCTTGTCCACGTGCAGTTCTACTGAAAGAACTTGAGGGCGGCAACAAGGAAAAACTTCTCCAGAAAAATCTCGGAATCTAGAACAGCGATGTGGGCAGCCCGACCAATGAGAGAATTGGCTGTGTTGGGAAGCGCGTGGATGACATCATATCGGACGAGGTTGCAGTCTTTGTTCTGAAGTACTGGCAGCAGCAGATTTTCAATCATCTCAGCATACACGGGACCTGGTGATGCCGCAAACACTTTTGTCAATTAATATAGTCTTATTAATTCATATAATCTTCTCCCAAATATGAATTGCCGCTGCATGATGTGGCGACATTGCAAAGTACAGCCCATCAAATGCTTCGAAGTGCTTATTCATTCTGAATGGAGAGCGCGCTCTCATTCATTTGGCTGCCTCTCCGAGGCAAGGTCCTTACTGTGCGGTGCCTGAAGCCCTCCAGTGGTGACCTAAAGGTTCCATCCTTGAGGCGGGTGCCACGATCGATTTCACTGTAATTAATCAGTTTGCCACCCAAAAAGTCTCATGGAAAAGCAAGCCCGACTGGGTGTGGAACCGTTCTAATGCAAAAGCGTATGTAAGGTGTCATACCAGTTTGTTTATCCTTTAATGCTGTTTTGCACATCTCTATCCGAGCTGAATGATAGGGTACGTAGCGATCCTGCAGTGAACCCACCAGAACCACATTCTTGAAAAACTGCAGACCTAAACACAAAAGATCACTTCAGACGTTTCTTTTTCAGGTACTCCTAGCTCAAAAGCAAAATAAGCAAACAATAGAGCAAATAAGGTACCACAAACCAGATTTTTTGCTGAGTTTATAGAGAAATGTCTGTCGAGGATCTGAGTGGTCACGGCAAGTCAGCTGCAGCAGCGATCCTGACTTCTTCCACTTCTGCATGAACCAAAGGCCTAGAAACAAAAAGTTAGTTCACAGAATCCTGTTTACTTTTACTACTACAGTATAAGGAATCTCTGAAATAAGCCGACACCCACCTGTGTTGACCAATGCTGAACTGTTGTATAGTGTGCCCAAATGAGGTCCGGAGAGGGAAAGGAAGGTGTGTAACCTGCTCAGGTAACATTTGAACCTGGGTCTGGTCAATACAGACCGAACTATCAGGTTCCCCAGCGAGTGGCCCACAAAACTGGAAGTCGAAAGAAAAGAAGAGGTTAACAATGATCAAATTCAGTCTATTGAACATAACAAGAGGTAGACAATCAGCAGCTCTAATAGCTTCCAAGGGCATATTTTTTTTTGACATCGTTCAAAAATGAAAAATTCCTGAACAGAAAATACAATTTTAGTGACATAAAGTGAAGCTAAGAATATACGAGAATGATTGTGAAAATCCGCACAAAAATCAACTTCAACTGCGGGTAAAACTGAGGAAAAAAAGTTGTGGCTTATAGTCGGAACTTTAATGCTCCTAAACATGGAAAGATGATAGGTGGCAAAAACTTGATGTTGGTGGTGCTGGTAAAATGGGGATCATAATAGTTACAAGCCCGTGGTTAGAAGTGGTTACAGTGGCAATTATATAAATACTTACAATTACATCAATCTCCAAGCTCCCCAAAAATCTGATATATTACAATTACCTTATTTTTGAAAGAGTGAGGTTGTAAATCTGAATGTATTGGACTATTTCATCCAACAGCCTGTCTGTCATTGACTCAAAGTCAGCGAAGGTGTCATTCTGGGTGGAAAACACAAGTAAAATAAAAGTTTAGATTCTTTTATGCTTGTTGGTTGTCCCCAACCCCACCACAAAAAAATGCTTATCATAACAACAATTTTGAAAAAAAGATTACCTGGTTTCTCTCTGACATAAGGAAGTCTATACGAGCACCAGGGAGTCCAAGCTCCAGGTAAGTCTTTACTAGTCTCAGGTCTGCACTGTTGCCTAAAGCAATGTGGGGAACATCATCATCAAGTGTGGCATATAATGCTATCAGCTGCAGCAGCGATCCTGACTTCTTCCACTTCTGCATGAACCAAAGGCCTAGAAACAAAAAGTTAGTTCACAGAATCCTGTTTACTTTTACTACTACAGTATAAGGAATCTCTGAAATAAGCCGACACCCACCTGTGTTGACCAATGCTGAACTGTTGTATAGTGTGCCCAAATGAGGTCCGGAGAGGGAAAGGAAGGTGTGTAACCTGCTCAGGTAACATTTGAACCTGGGTCTGGTCAATACAGACCGAACTATCAGGTTCCCCAGCGAGTGGCCCACAAAACTGGAAGTCGAAAGAAAAGAAGAGGTTAACAATGATCAAATTCAGTCTATTGAACATAACAAGAGGTAGACAATCAGCAGCTCTAATAGCTTCCAAGGGCATATTTTTTTTTGACATCGTTCAAAAATGAAAAATTCCTGAACAGAAAATACAATTTTAGTGACATAAAGTGAAGCTAAGAATATACGAGAATGATTGTGAAAATCCGCACAAAAATCAACTTCAACTGCGGGTAAAACTGAGGAAAAAAAGTTGTGGCTTATAGTCGGAACTTTAATGCTCCTAAACATGGAAAGATGATAGGTGGCAAAAACTTGATGTTGGTGGTGCTGGTAAAATGGGGATCATAATAGTTACAAGCCCGTGGTTAGAAGTGGTTACAGTGGCAATTATATAAATACTTACAATTACATCAATCTCCAAGCTCCCCAAAAATCTGATATATTACAATTACCTTATTTTTGAAAGAGTGAGGTTGTAAATCTGAATGTATTGGACTATTTCATCCAACAGCCTGTCTGTCATTGACTCAAAGTCAGCGAAGGTGTCATTCTGGGTGGAAAACACAAGTAAAATAAAAGTTTAGATTCTTTTATGCTTGTTGGTTGTCCCCAACCCCACCACAAAAAAATGCTTATCATAACAACAATTTTGAAAAAAAGATTACCTGGTTTCTCTCTGACATAAGGAAGTCTATACGAGCACCAGGGAGTCCAAGCTCCAGGTAAGTCTTTACTAGTCTCAGGTCTGCACTGTTGCCTAAAGCAATGTGGGGAACATCATCATCAAGTGTGGCATATAATGCTAAAAAAAAAAAAATCCTTTGAAAAATTAGTCGCCTTTACCATCCAGGCCATGCACGCAAACGATAAGATGAATGCCCTCGTCACAGCTTTCATCTTCCTCCAAGCTGAAGTAGGGTACTGTGGATGCAAGCTCTGGTACTTCACTGTACAAGATGCCAGGAAGCTTCAATTGCTTCATTTCTTCCTTAGCCTTGACGAACCTGCATGATTTCAATGTAATTGTTGAATTAGTTAGAATGCATGCATAACCCTAATCGTGTGATGGAAAATGACAACTCACTCTATCATCTGTGGTGCAGGTACACATTCATACCACGTTAGATTTGAGGACATCAAGGTGGAGGGATGACGCCTCCGTGCGCTCTGCCCAGTAGTACCAGAGGCGACGTTGGAGCAGACTGGAGCTTTCAATAAATCCTGTTTTTCGTGGATGTGGCCAATGCCAAGCTGTTCAAACAGAACTTGTGCTTCCTGACAAACTGTGCCTCCA